TTGCTTTTATATTACCGGTACATATATAGGTACTACATGTGGACCTCTCTCAGATTTGTTCATTTGTAATGATATCTTTAATTTTGGTGAATATTTTTGTCATTTTTGGTAAAAAGTGATATTTTCGACTTCTTGTTAAAAACGGCAAATCTGATTGCTTTTATATTACATATATAGGTATTACATGTGGACCTTGTTATTTTCGTGGTGATATCTTCAATTACTTAATTTTGATGATTATTTTTGTTGAAAAGTGATATTTTTGAATTCTTGTTGAAAACAGCAAGGTCCTTTGCTTTGATACTACACATATTGTTCATTTTCTAATATCTTCAGTTCTTTAATTGAAATGTGCATTGCTAACAGCGGAGCTATCTCAGCCGACAGGCTGCTTGTCTATAAATGTTATGGTTCGGTTAATAATTTCCAGGAAACTGTACAGACAAACACAGACTTTCATTATTTTTTGTTCATAGTTTTTCTAAATTTCAGTTTTTATTGTTCATAATTATTTACAGCATTAACACTTTTTTTCTGTTGTGAAACCATTTCCAGTTATTATGATTGTGTACATGACAGCTTTGCCCCACACATATGTGCGAGTATGTTTCATGGGCTAATAGGCCACTTCTTTATTTCCCACAATGTCTGGTAATTCTAACTATTATAAACTACTATTTCGCAAAATTTGTGTAGCCTTGATTCTACTCCCATATTGTCCTTAATAGTGAAGGTTAATGCGGATATATTGTAAATTATACAGAGGTAACACTACAATACATTTCCCTTCACATTCCCCTGTATTACATAACAATCTTTGAGCTGAGGCAGTTATGGTTCTACAACCATCACCAGTTCTCTTGTTTAGAATTTGTTTAAATCACATTCAGAAAATGTTGTAGTACCACATCACTGAAGGCAACACACAAAGCAGACAACACACATACAATGCAGATACAGACAACACAGAACACAGAATTGCAAGTATGGTAATGTAATAGTATAATTGTTGTTTACAGCATGGTTCTGCAGTACCTAGTGTACATACAGATATCCATCCAGGCAGTGCACATGATAAAATTGCAGCCAAGTCAGGTATGTACACTTTTCTTTCTCTATGTTTTTATCATATCAGTTATTGTTCATTGAAGATCAAGTTTGTGCTCTAGTGATGGAAGGAACCATATATGACTAGGGGTGGTTAGGTCCAAGAATGGGCAGGGTTGATAAAGTACTTATACCAAATCTGTAGTTGTACAAAAAACTATTTTATACAAGTTTTCAATTTTTAATCTTGTATCTGATAGCTGTATAGAGGTGTGATACTTATATTTACTAGTGTTCATGTGTGATCTGATTTGACCTTTGACTTGTATTTCAGAAGCGAGTGTTGATATTAAAGGTGGTCAGTCTACTCATTCATCAGAACACCAGCCACTATTACAGTCTATGTTATCTATGGGTGGACAGACAGACATAGAAATAGACGAAGGTAATAACACATGCATCTTTTGGTTTGCTCATAGTAAAAGTAATTCAAGGCCAATTTGAATGTGAATTTGAATGCAATTTACTGTGTGGACGCCCCATTTTGTTTAAGATTTTGCAGGATATGACTTCATATATACCGACAAGAACAGCACTTTTATAAAGCCAACTAAAAAATTTGCAGTGGTTCCAATAACAAATCTTATGTCATATCAAAGCAATTGGATTTGCAGTTTTTAACAAGAAGTCAAAATATCACTTTTTACCAAAAATATTCACCAAAAATAGAGAATTTGAGATTTTACAATGAAATGAACAAATCTGAGAAAGAACCATCCAAGGTACTTGCATATCAACTTTGAAAACATTCTTTCTTTCAGTTTTGAAAAAGAAGTTGAAATTGTAAAGTTGACGACGACGGACAATCAGTAACATGAACAGCTCCGCTGTGTCAACAAAGTCGACACAGCGGAGCTAAAAATGATGCCTAAATTTTAGATTATACGGTATTTTCTAAGGATGCAATAAATTTATTATTATTATTATTATTTACAGAGGAATTAGAAGATGAAGAAATGGATGAAAGCGTACGAGAGTTCAACTTTTGGACGCACCAGATTCACATTTTTTTTATGCGGAAATTGTTCCCAGCATTTGAACACATGGAGAGAATTAAAGAGAAAAAGTTAGAAATAAGAGCTGAGAAAATGGTTAGTTTCATTTTCAATGTCATACCACTTTGTAATGATGCCCTTATTATTTAGGTTTATTTCACTTTTCACATAAACAGTGATTAACAGTGAAAAAATAATGTGAATTATTGATTGTGTTGTCTGCATTGTGTGTGTTGTCTGCATTATGTGGGTTTTCATTGTAATATATTGGTGTGTTGCGTTCTAGACTGCTGCCTTAGAAGCCCAGAAGTTAAGAGAAGAAGAAGAAAGGAAAGAGGCAGCATTGGAAGCTAAACTGTCAGACGAGTCAGCAACAAAAGAGAGATCAGTTACCGAGTTGTCTGAGATTACTAAGGATGGTGAAGCAGAAACCGTAATAGGCTCGCTATCAGAGGCCAAAAGTTAAATAACAATTGTATGTTGTCTTAGTATCAGCAACTAATATTGTTATCTCTTACTGAACTTGCTTTATATTAATTGATTTAAAATATCTACTTCATATACCGTCCACAGATATTTTCTTCAAATAAAAATTAGCTTTTTTTGTTCGCCGTACTAACATGTTCAACTCAAAGTATACAGTATGAAAACATAATCAGTGATAACCATATTCACCAGAGTGTGACTTGTAAATTTGGTGAAATCCTTTGTACTTTTATGACTAAATAAATTGTATAAATAATTATAAGTTGGTGTTTGTACGCACTGATGATTAAGGTGCTGTTATCCTGTCAGTAAAAATTTAAGTGTAGCCAAGATAATAATAAACTGGTGTTGTGAGTAACCAGATTAGTACCATGCACTCAAAACCTTTAGGGGAGAACATTGCTCAAATGCAACAAAACTTGGTTAACAATCCCTGTAAAATTATACATGTACTTGTAATGAATAAATCTATAAATTTACCAGTGATTATGCAAATAAGGTAATAATTTATGAAATAAATATTTAATTTATACCAAAATAAAATAATTTCTGGAAATTATCACAAACACAATTGTGTCAAATTTCATTAAAATGCTTTCTTAATGAACTTTGACTTACCGAATGAATACCATAGCTGTATATGATAAGACAGCTGATATTCCATACCTTAGGTGTTTTTTAAAATGTACAAATTGACTAGTAACCATTATAAAAAGATAGGAACTAAAATGACAGAGTTTTAGATAAGCCTCATAATAAAGCAGCAGGGAGGTTGGAAAAGGTCCCTTAAGCCCACCTCCAAACCTGAACTCTAGCACACCCCCAAATTGTATGCCTTTCCAGATAAATGTGTCCTGGAGAGGGGCATATACAATTGAAATGAGGGCACTTGAGGGGCAGGGTTAAGTTTATGTTAGGTTATGGGTGAGGGGTTCCTAGGGAGCTGTAACAGAGAGGTGAAACATTTGGTGGGGGGTCTCATATCAATCATGGAGGGGGTGTCAAACAATTTGGGGGGCTCATGGATGGGTAGAGGTCAACTATTTGTGGGGAGTTGTATTTATTTTTATTGTATTTATTTATTTGCCATAGATTACAGGTAGTACAAAGAATTAAAAACATCAACAAGAGAGAGAGAGTACATTGCGAAATAATAAATATTAAAAATTAAAATAAATAAAATGAGCAACTGATCCATGGCTAGGGTAACAGAAGATAGCAATCATAATGCTAGACAAGTCTGTTCCCCTGTATACAGTTATTTCAATGGGAAAAAAATACAAGGGTGTAGTATTCACCTAACACAATTGATTATTACAAAAAATATTAGAAAGACTAGTTATAACAGTAAATAAATAATACATAGAACTAAACATAGAAATACAGAGTAAATAAATAAGGAAATAATTAATTAATCAATTTCCTTTACTAGTACATTGTCAATTTCTAGTTGACAGTCTGAGCCATGGACTGGACTAGTCCATAAGGACTATTTCCATGGACCACACCAAAATAAATAAATAAATAAATAAACTAATCAATTAACCAATCAAGCATTTAACCACCCAACCAATTAACCAACTAACTAACCAATCAACCAACCAACTTATTAACCAGTCAAACAATTATCCAATCAATCAACCAATTAACCATCCAACCAATTAATTAATTAATCAAACAACCAAGTAACCAACCACCCAACCAATCAATCAACTAATTAAGCAGCTAATCAACCAACCATTTAATCAATCAACCAATCAATTACCCAATATGCCAATCAACCAACCAACTAAATAACAATTTGATCAACCAATCACTAACCAATTAATCAATCATTTAACCAACCAAAAATTGCAAACTTATAGTGAAAACAAATACATTTTGAGTTCTTTTTTGAACCTTGCCTGGCTGTTAATGAGTTTCAAATGACTGGGTCGAGCATTCCATAGTTTTGAACCATTATAATCAATTGAATATAGACCTTTATTTGTTCTCTTTTTGGGAAGGGAAAAGTCAGAATTTGTTACAGATCGAGTGGTATAGTTGTGGGAATGAAACGAAAAATAGTCTAAAAGATTACGAGGGAATTTTTGATGCCGAAGGTCATGAATAAAAGTGCATAGCTGATATTTGAATAAATCATTAATATCAAGAATTCCTAATAAATAGAACAGAGGTTTGCTGTGAGTATATTGGTCTTTGAATAGAATAATGCGTGTTAATCTCTTCTGTTGTTTATAAATTGGAGTAATTGTTGAGGGAAATGTATTACCCCAGACTTCAAGGCCATATGAGAGATGCGGACGAATAAGGGCATTATACAATACAATGAGCACAAGTTTTGGAAGATAGTGGCGAAGCTTGCTGATTAATTCGATGATATTTTGTTAACAACATGCTTAACATGTGGTTCCCAAGTGAGGTATTTATCCAGAACAACGCCAAGATACGTTGTTTCATCAACTTTGTTTAGAATGGTATCATTCATATGGATAAGCTGATTGTTATGATTTACACGTTTATGTGACGAGGAAAAGAACAAGTAACTAGTTTTATTTGAGTTGACAGTTAATTTGTTATCATTACACCATTTGTTAACCAAAGACAGATTGTACTCTATATCTGGTACAGGAATGGAATGTGATGTTAGTGTGTGAAACAAGTTAGAGTCGTCAGCAAATAATTTAAATTGGAAGAAAGGAGAGAATTTAGAAATATCATTTATATATAAAAGAAAAAGTATAGGACCTAAGACAGATCCTTGAGGAACTCCATAATTGATAGGAAGGGTCGAGGAATGATAACCATCTACATGAACATATTGTCTACGGTTAGATAGATAATCTTTAAACCAATTTAGAGGAGTACCCCGGATGCCATAATTGAGTAACTTGGAGTAGTAAGATTTCATGATTGATTGTATCAAAGGCATTAGTTAGATCGAGAAATACACCAAAAACTATGTTGCCGTCGTCAATTGTTCTAACAAGGTCAAAGATAAGGTCAATTAGTGCGAGCTTAGTACTATATTTTTTTCGGAAGCCATACTGATATTTGGTAATGATTTTATGTTTGTCAAGAAAAAAAAAATAATTGCTTGTTAATAGTTTTTTCAATAATTTTCCTGATGATTGGCAATATAGAAATTGGTCTATAGTTGCTTACTAAATAGGGAGAACCTTTCTTGTAAATTGGTTAAACAGTAGCGAGTTTAAGTTCAAATTTATCATACAAAGGGGAGAGGTCAAACATGTTGGGGGGGGGGGGCTAGAAGATCTAGGAATGATATACTCAGAGACAAATTGTATATTTTGATTTATTTACCATATATTGCACAACCAATAGAGTAAGTACACTATACATAGAATTTAGTACAATCAACTAGGCATTAAGTAAATAAAAAAAAAACTATTAATAACTACATTTTTACAAAACTGCTAAAATATATATACAGAAAAAAACCATTAGTTGAAATACTGGTGATTGCTTTAATCGACTTGTCATAAAGGAAGTAGCTCTGTTTTGTAACAAGTACTAGGAAAACAATTATAGATCTAATTACAATAATCTGACCTGTGGAAGGGCTATGGAATGACAAACACTAATACCAGAATTTGCATAGATCAGAAAGAATGAGTTAATCCTATCGTTATTAAGATTTAGATTTATACTTAATTTTCAATAAATTGTTTCAGGATTACCAAGTCATATCAATCTACCTCAAGTTGGCAGTACAGGAGTGTGACCTATGACATGACTGACCTGACATGACCAGGCTGACCTGACATGCATAGATTAATAAACTGATATTTATTTTTTATACATTATTTTCAATTACCATAGCAATCTACATTAAGTTGGCAGTACAGAAGTACAAATGTATGACCTATGACATGACCGGCCTATGACTTGGCTGCCCTGACATGCATAGATTTATTAAACTGATATTTATTTTTTATACATTATTTTCAATTACCAAAGCAATCTACATCAAATTGGCAGTACAGGAGTGTGACCTATGACATGACTGACCTATGACCTGGCTGACCTATGACATGCATGGATTTATACAAAATTTTCAATTACCATAGCAATCTACCTCTAGTTGGCAGTACAGGAGTATGACTTATGACATGACATGACATGACCGACCAATGACTTGGCTGACATGACATGCATAGATTAATAAACTGATATTTATTTTTTATACATTATTTTCAATTACCATAGCAATCTACATTAAGTTGGCAGTACAGAAGTATGACCTATGACATGACTGACCTATGACATGACCAGGCTGACCCGACATGCATAGATTTATTAAACTGATATTTATTTTTTATACATTATTTTCAATTACCATAGCAATCTACCTCAAGTTGGCAGTACAGGAGTATGACCTATGACATGACCGACCTATGACCTGGCTGACCTGACATGCATAGATTTATTAAACTGATATTCAATCTGCTTATCTCTTAAGAATGTTATTTTATAATAAATTGTAATTTTTAAAACCACATCAAAGATTTTAAAACACTATACCATAATACACTCAGTACATAATAGCACAAACATACAATAATTAATTCACATTAACTATGAATTGTCAGCTCTGTCCAATACTGTATTGCCATAATGACAATTTTTTTTTTAAATATTATATTGTAATTTACATCTATAATTATCTGAATATCATTTCTGCATGAAAATAAGAAATGTACAAAAAATTTTCAAGTTTTTTTACATCTGATCATATTTTTCATATATACTATGTATACTATGGCTATTAAAAGATGGTTATTCCTCATTTCACTGGTTATTAGTCTACCCTGTATACATTGTTTAACAAAAAACAAAACTTTCACAGGGTTGGTATACAACTTTGGTCTCCATGGTGATATGCAATGTATATTCTATTGCATTTGCGCATCAACCGATTTCCATAACACAAAACAGTGATTACTTGGAAAGGTTCGATGGAACCCACATAATACGTACTGTGCAAATATCAAAACATCTTAAGATTAAAACTATAATTAGTTCTTACAGACTCACTTATTGGCATTCAGTATTTCCAGAAATGTTTGTTTTGTGATTTAGTAGAATCTTGCATTGTTCATGATTTCAAATGTTGAATCTTCATGTATATCCCATAAACCATCATTTTATTATCTTATTATTCTTATTATTGTGAATGAGTTCTTATATTTTTTAGATTAAAATTGAAGCTGTCATAAAAGTCATTCATGCTATCTGATT